TAACATAGACGCATTTGTCATATTCGTTTATCTTAAAACCATCTGAAAGTATAGCGTGATCAAATTTTTCACACCATTGTTTCGGAGCTTGTTTTAATCCATAAAGGAATTTAACAAGTTTACAAACCTATTTCTCTTGGCCGAGAACTTGAAACCCTTCCGGTTATTCCATATAGATTTGTTCATCTAACTCGCCATTCAAAAAAACTGTTTTAACATCCATTTGATGTATTTCAAGATTATACAAAGTTGCAATCGCAATCAATATGCGAATAGATGTTATTCTTGTCCCTAGTGAATAGATGTCAAAATAATCAAGACCTTCCTTCTGCCTGTATCCCTTAACAACAAGCCTAGCCTTGTATTTATCTATTGAACCATCTGCTTTCATTTTTCTCTTGAATACCTACTCTTATCCACGAGGTTTACACCTTGGTGAAAGATCCACCAGTTTCCAAGTATGATTTTGCAGTATTGATTCAATTTCACTATTCATAGCCTCTCTCCATAATGGAACTTCAAGATTTGACATTGCTTCCTTGAAGTTTTGAGGCTCATTTTCTAACAGGTATGTCAGAAAATCTAAACCAAATGATTTAGAGATCCTAGCCATTTTGCTACGTCTAGGTTCATCTACTTCATTATCATTTTGGTCTTCATTGCCACCCATAGCAGTATCTAAAGTTCTTTTATTTGAAGTTGTCTCTTCAGTTTCCTTGCAAGAAAAAATGTGTTCAAGAAACAACTCATTCCTTGACTCAATAATAGTGTTTACATGCATATTAAGATTTTCAAATCTATGAACTAAAAATCTATATGCACTACTATTATTTGCGTAACCAATGAACACACACTATCTTAGACGTTTTAGGACTAGGGACTGCCACCTTGGCCAAACACCCCCACACTTTGAGGTAATTGTAGGTAGGTCATCGACATTTCCATACTTTATAAGGTGTTTGATTAATTTTCTTATGGGGTACCCTGTTATAAAGTTAGCAAACAAAATCGCCTCCCCCCACAAGTTCTGAGGTAACCCTAAACTAATCAACATGGCATTCATCATCTCTTTAAGAGTTCGATTCTTTCTCACAGCAACTCCATCTGATTGAGGAGAATAAGGTGCAATGGTTTGGTGAATAATACCATGTTCAAAACAAAATTCCTCAAATGGTGCATCATACTCACCACCTCTATTACTCCTCACTATTTTAATAGTTTTGCCGAGTTGATTTTCAACCTTAAGTTTATATTGCTTAAAAGCTTCTAAGGCTTCATCTTTACTTCTTAATAAGTAAACATAGCAATATCAAGTGCAATCATCAATAAAAGTAATAAAGTACTTCTTATCTCCTCTAATGTGAACAAATTTTAAATCACAGATATCTATGTGAATTAAACTTAATGGTTCAGTACTTCTCTCTACTTTATTAAATGATACCTTAGTGAGTTTTGCCTCAACACAAATCTCACATTTATGATTAGGATCAAACTCTAAGTTTGGTAAGCATTCTAAAACAACAAGTCTATGCAAAGAATTAAAATTAACATGTCCTAATCTACCATGCCATAAAAAAAAAAAGATTCAACAATATAAATAGAAAATGTGTTCTTATTATTAATAGCCAAATTTGGTACAACAGTATTTACATTTAGCTTAAAAAGCCCATCACTCATGTAACCTCGCCCCATATACATTCCACTCTTGAAGTGTACAACCTTATCAGATTCAAAGACTAATCTAAACCCATTCTTGATCAACAATGACCCAGAAATCAAATTTTCACAAATTTCTGGCACGTGGAGTACATTGTTGAGCGTGAGTTCTTTCCCCGAGGTCATTTTCAGCACGATCTTTCCTTGTCCTTCCACAGTTAAAGTGGAGGAGTTTCCCATAAAAGTTGTTCCCCACTTTCCACCCTTTATAGGTTATGAACATCTTCTTGTCTGCACAGATATGGCGGATTGCTCCAGTGTCCACCCACTACTCCTTGGGATCAGAGATTACTACAGCAAGGTTGATGTCTGCTACTCCATCGAAAAAATAAAAATCCTCGGCTATGTTAGCTGGTGCTGGCTTTTTGCTTGAACTCCCTTCATCCTTACGAATATGACAATCCTTAGCGCGATGTCCATCTTTGCCACATACAAAACACTTGACTTTGAACCTCTTGTTGAACCCGTTGTTAATCCCTTTGTTGATCTTACTAGTGGATCCTTGTTTGGGACCATTGCCATCACGCTTCCGCTTCTTGTTATTGAACTTTGACCCTTGTCCATGTTCCACAACATTTGCTTTAGCCTACATGATGTGGTTTCCTGACTTCTTGTCGGAACCACAATTGTCCTCCTCAATTCTGAGCTGCACTATTAGTTCCCTTAATTTCATCTCTTGCGCTTATGCTTTAGATAATTCTTGAATTCTTTCCATGATGGTGGCAATTTTTCAATGATTGCCGCTACTCGGAAAGATTCAGTAAGAACCATCCCTTCTGCATGCATGTCATGGAGAATTAATTAGAGATCTTGAACTTGGCTAATAACCATCTTGGAATCTACCATTTTAAAGTCCAGAAAATGGCCGACAACAAATTTCTTTGTATCGGCATTCTCCGTCTTATATTTATGATCTAGAGATTCCCACAGTTCTTTAGTAGTGCTTTTGACACTATACACATTGTACAGTGTATTGTCCAACCCATTGAGGATATAATTCTGACAGAGAAAATCACCATGTTTCCATGTATCGACTATGGCAACTACTTGCCGATCAGTTTCTCCCTTGTTCAGTGACGGATCTTTTTCATGGATGAAACGAGCCAAATTCAATGTGGTAAGATAAAACATCATTTTTTGTTTCCATCTTTTAAAATCATTTCCATTGAATTTTTCTAGCTTCTCCCCATGATTTACTAGTATTGCCGAAGTCATCATTGGCACAACAAGTTTAGGGGTTTGAATAATAACAGTCTCAGTATTGTTTTTTTCAATTGTCATAATTCTAACAAAATAATAATACACCAATCACAAATTTATACAAAAAAGAATTTACTCACAAAATATACAAAATATTATCACAAATTTATACAGAAAAGAATTTACACACAAAATATAGAAAATAATATTTTGTAACAAAATTCCAATGATAAACAGTATATTACAAACATGTTATCAAAGAAATCATTAAACAGTATATTAGTACTATTTAAGAAATTAAAGAGTATGTGACTACTATTTAATTTCCCAAAACAAAATATTCATCTGTCTAACACAGAAATAAAAACGAAAATCTACTTTAAGATTGTTATTCCCACAATGGATGTGTGTGTAAATTAAATGTGTAATTAAAAATAAATAACAAAATAAAATAATTTAGAAAATAATTATATAAATTAAATTCCGAATTAAACGCTTACAAAAATTAAAGTCGAGGTTTGTGTTGGACACAATCTCCTCAAAGTAGATTTCGCCCTCACTCCGGTGCTTCGAGTTTTAACGGCGTCTAATTCTCAGGATGCAAGGACTACTACTTGATTTGCAGCACTACAAAATCAGGTCTTGTGAACCAAATTATGTTGTAACTCTTTCTCTTTCTTTTCCTAAAAATAAATGCAGAAACAGATGCTGGAGCGCAGGAGGACAAACTGAAGAAGAAAGTTTGGAAATTTTTCGATACAAATGAATGCTGGAATGGCAGGGTATATATAGGAAAATTGGTGGCTATTCGAACAGGTGCCAACAGATAGGCAACTATTCGGACAGATTCAAAACAGGGGGAAAAAAACCATGTTTAGACATATATAGATCTGTCCGATTCAAATGAACCTGTTTTGAACCGTTTGAACCTATGCGGGTGAGTATGAACCCATTAGGGATCTGTTTGGTTGAAAGAAAAATCTAAACCAATTTATTTTGAATTTTGAAACCAAAACTAAAAAAATAAATAAATAAATTACAAACATGTTTGGTCCAAAAAGATAAGTATTTGGTCGGACAAGCCCAACCAAACCTCACACCACGCACCCGCGCCCAAGCCCAACCCGCTCGACCGACCGGCGGCAGCAGCAGCGCGCATGTGGTTTTTATTTTAGGTCCAATGGGTCTAGCCCACTTTACCCATAACCTCACCCTCACAAACTTGGGTACCCCTTGGGGCCCATCTCAAGTATCCCAAGCTAAGGTATACAAACCCATTCAAAACCTTAAGCCTTTTCAATATGGGACAGGCACATTTCACAAATGTGTAAGAAACCCACCTAAATCCATTTCCACGAATCCGAAAATGCACGTTGAATTCTCATTTATCTAAAAATAGTTTTGTGCAAATAAATACACGATGTTATTCACTACGCGGCATTAAACATGAACCCAATTAGAAACGTTAAAAATAACGCTTGGGTCACACCTTAATTAATGCTCAAAGTTAGCAAAAAATAAAGATTTTTAAAGCCATTTTCCAACAAAAAGTTGCTGAATTGATCATGTTGTTCACTTTTTTTGGGGTTTGGCATGCCTAGTAGATGAATCTATAAAGTGTAGTTAGCTTTTCTCATAATGGTTTGGAACTTCGATGAGGATATCTAAACTATCTTATAGTATTATAGAAAACGCATGACTTACTTGGTGTGAACACGAAAGGCTCTAAATGCACTCCATAGATTTGGTTAGACACTCTAGTTTTCAAAAAATAAATAAATAATACCATTTCACCATTAAATTAAATTACCAAAAAGCCCATATCATAACCCTAACTCCGACAACCCCTTCCCGCTCTAGCAGGCCCTTCTCACTCCAACCAACCCCAAGGTGAAGTGCTCAGGCGAATAAACTTCTTATCTAACAGTTCCTGAAGTTGAGTTTTCAATTCCTTCAGTTCAGAAGTCAACATTCTATACGAAGTTTTGGAAATTGGTTGTGTTCCGGGTACAACATCAATAGTAAACTCAATTTCCCTATCAATTAAGTCTCCAGGTAAATCATTTGGAAACACATCGGGAAAGTCATTTACTACAATCAACAGTAGAATTATCAGAAGTCACAGTCAAAACGCAACATAAGTAACCCCGATACTTTTTTCTTAATAACTTCCTGGGTTTCACAAAAGAAATCAAATACGGTAAAGGAATTACCCCATTCCCAGCAAATACGAACTCAAGCATGCCAGGTGGTCGAAACACAACAATTTCATTCACACAATCAATAGTTGCACAATACTTTGTCAACCAATCTATGCCAAGTATGCAGTCAAAATTATCAATACCCAATGGCAACAAATCAACATATAATGTCATATCACCAATTATAATGTCACATGCCAAATAAACATATACGCATACCATAGAACCCCAGATGGTGTAGATACAGATAAAAAATAATTCATAGGTTCTAGTGGTCTAGTCAATTTTTAAAAGAAAGCATGCGATACAAAGGAATGCGTAGAACCAGAATCTATCAATACACATGCATTTTAAGCACAAATAGGGAGTATACCCGACACCACAGCTTCGGTGTTCTGCATATCACCAGGCACTAATGCGAAAACTCGGCCTTGTCTCAAAGTTTCTCTTCCAGTATTGGCTCTCGTATTTGTTCTAGCTACAGAAGTGGACCCGGCTAAACTTGTTGTAGGACAGTTGGCATTATCAGATCCAAGTGAGCAATCTCTCACTACATGGTCTATCTTTCAGCATAGAAAACAAGCACCGGATGAATGGTAACATACACCCCTATGTTTCCTCCCACGTTCAGAACAAATTGGTATAGACCCACTGCTCTGACTTGTGCTACTAGTAGACCCGTTTTTTGCTTCTTGTTGTTTACAAAAGAACGGCCCTTTCTGAAACCATACCCAGACCTTTTACCTCTCCATTCTGTTGTTAGTGTTTTAACTTGTTTCTTTGCTGCCAAATTAGCCTCTGTCATCAATGCTCTGTCAAGTACATCCACATATGTAGGTAGCTTTAAGACACCTACACGATCAAATACATCTAGGTCTAATCCACCTTCAAATTTTTGGGCCTTCTTGTAGTCCGTATCCACCATATGAGGAGTAAATCGAGCTAGTTTAGTGAATTTAGCTTCGTACTCAACTACAAACATGTTGCCTTGCTTGAGTTCTTGGAATTCAGAAACCTTTCGGTCCCGGAAGCATTGAGAAAAGTACTTGTCATAAAAGATTTTGTTGAATTGAGCCCGTGTCATGGTTTCATTGCTATTTCGGAATAACAACCACCATCTTCTTGCTTCATCCTTTAGAGTATAGGTGGCCAATAGAACCTTCTAAGTCTCAGAACAGGAAAATACTTCGAATAATTTCTCCATTTCGAGTAACCATGTCTCTGCTTTTAATGGTTCAATACCACGCAAGAATGTTGGATGTTTCATCTTCATGAACTTCTAAGTTAGATTTATGATATCATTGTTATCCGATTCTACTTGGACCAAAGAGAGAGGAGGAGGCAGGGGTTGTCTTTGCAGCTCTCTCATTGATTCAGTTAGGGCTTCAAGCATTTGTTCCATTCGGCCTATGCAAGCCTCTGAGGATTTAGTTGTACCGTTACTTCTTGTATTTTCCATTTGCTACATAGGTAAACAAAGTACTTGTAAACATAGGCAAATAGTTCATTCACAATATTCGGAGTATTCACTTCCAATTCTTTCTTGTCAATTTCACATGTTCGTGTTTAGATTCAACTTTAGCTTTCACATTCATAGAAATTATCACACACTCACACATGCAGATAAAATGTCCCAAATTCTTGTCTAGGACATCCTATAGCTCGTATGGACTTGTATGTGCGGTATAACACGTGCTTTGATACCACTCTGTCATGACCCAAACCTGCCCTTATAGGTTTAGCGTCGTAACCGACCAGTAATCCTTGGATTACCAAAGGCCTTTACACAAAATAACATATAATTAAGGGGCTAGCGGAAGCAAATATATATAAAACATACACAGTCCATCGAGTAGACATACATGGAACAAAAATTTAAAAACTTCATATACATACACTTGAGGTCATAATTACATTAGTCTTACGTCACATTCATTACAGATATAGCCAGAATGAGGTCTTAGCCCAATATACAGATAAATAGAAAACTTGTTCATATTCCAAAGGTCTTACATATTCACAAAACATGACTACTATGATTTTCCAAAACCTCCTTGGGAGGCACAAAGGGTTGACTGACAAAATCAAAAATTCCAGGTCATCAACCTTGAACCTGGTCACGCGCCTAGTCACCTGCATACATTAATAATAAAGTGAGCGGAAGCCCAGTGAATAATAACAGAGTAAAGGGTTTAATTGAATGATATTCCACATCTGATTTGAAAAGTAGATTTCATATCAGAGACAGATTCTTATTCATTTACAGAATCAGAGTTCATGCTCAATCATACGTGGTACATCCATTAGCGCTAACAGAACAGATACAGAACAGATGATGGTTATGTATAACCAATTCCATAAAGGAACCTCCGGATCCGGGTAACAAATAACAGATATGCTGGGCTCCATGATGGAGCCTCCCATATGGGTAACAGATAACAGATATAATAAGTTCCATAATGGGACCTCCGTTACTGGGTAATAGCTAACAGATATGCTAAGGATGCCACAAATACATTTCAGAAATTGGACAATTATTCATTGTATAGAACATATCCTATCAAAAAATAAATCTTATTTCATCATACAGAAAATAAATAAAGTTGAACATAGCTTTATTAAGTTATTACTCACAGATGGTTCCGAAAGCAGACAGGCAGAGCTAACAAATCTGATGGCTTACTGCACGTGACCTACACAAACATAACAGAGACACATATTGAAATACACACTCGGATAGTACTTAACTTATTGCACTCCGTCCTTAGTGTGTCTCTAAGTCTTATCCTTATTATTATGTCTTAATCATAGCCTAGGAATACCTAGGATGCAATGAAGATGCTAAAATTCTTTTGAAACACTTAGGCAAATATGTTGAAAATAAGGGCCTTGCTCGAGCGGAGGTTCAAAAATATGAGTGGCCGCTCGAGCGCAACTTCTTTCGCTCGAGTGGTCTGTAAACTCTACAAAAGTACTGGTTGTGTGAATTCTCCGCTAGATGGTTGCTCGACTGTCGCTCGAGCGTGAGACTGAGGTCCTCGCTCGAGCGCAACTCTTGTCGCTCGAGCGGTCTGCAAAAATGGTAAACTTCTGGGAGCAAGCATTTTATGCTCAAGCCATCTATTTGTCGCTCGAGCGGAAGTACCAAAATAAAGGTGGTTGCTTGAGCAGAGGTTCTGTCGCTCAAGCAGAGAAATAAAATTCTGGAATTTCCAGATTTGCTCTCAAACTCAAAACTCAAATCCAAAGTCTCAAAATGCAACTTTTGGGCCCCAAAACTTGAGAAAACAAGCTCAAACTTGTAAAATGTTGAGAATCTAAAATCATTTCGCAAAATTAAAGTCCAAAAGCATGACAATTGTGCCAATTCAAACTCAAAACTTTTAAAACATATCATATATGCAATAGAGTGAGTTCAAAACTTCCAAATCATGTTCAAAGAAGGCAAATTGATGGAAAACATGATGAATTCTTTGAACAAAGCCAAATTGAGGACATACAAGAGGAAATTCTTTGAATGCAACCTTAAAATCATGAGAATTATGTATGTATGCATGATACACTCCCATAGCCATCTAACCAAGCTCAATTCTTATCTTAATGTAGAATTTCTTTTGAACTCATGAGTTAGCTAACTTAATTACATCATCAAAAGCTTGAATTCTCACCTAAACTTCCCAATTGAGCTTCAAGTAATCCAATTCTTAAGTGATCAAGCTAATCCTCCTTAGTTCCCTTTAATTCTCTAGCAAGTCACTTTTGGTTGCACTTAGCTCTCTCTCTCTCTCTCTATCTCACACGTTTAGTCTTCAAATATGAGGGATTGAGAGTGTAAAGTACATAAAAGGTGTTAGAAGAGGCCTTATATAGGCTCATTAATGAGTCCTAATTAAACTTGGCTTAAGCTAATCGCGCGGGCATTAATCATTCTAATTAAATCGTTCCAAATCGAATTTTAATTAAACCTACTCTAAAATTTTAAAAATTCCAAATATCACATATACCAAGTCAATTTCATGATCGATAAGGCTTTCAATTCGCAAAATATAACAGAATCTCAAATAGATATTTACACAAATAATGCAATATACATGCAATTAATTCAGAATTTCATCTTAATTACTCATTAAGCATAATTAATCATGGTTTATCAGCTAATCATAGGTCGGGGTTGTTACAGTGAGGGTAATGTTGGCATTAATTAGGATGTTCAAAGACAAAAGTCAAAATTTGAATTTTGAAATTGGGTATTAAGAAATGGAATGCCCAAGGCCAAGCAAATCTTTGGGGTGCATTTAGAGCCATCCCTTTAAACACCTCTGTCATGCATTTTCTTATGCCCAAATTGCCCTCATGTAGCTGTCCTAGCTTTTTATTTTATTTCGTTTTTCCATTTTTGTACTTCCATCTACATTTTTTTTTTTGCAGATGATTTGTACACACATATTCATGTTTAGATTCTTAAACACAGGGCAATTTTTGAAGATGGAGACAATGAAAGAAACTTGGAGGCTTTGACTCATGTAGAAATTACTAGGAGACTTGTATTACTAAATATTTAGAAATTACTGGAGGCTTGTATTACTAGGAGGATTTGACTCATGTAGAAATTACTAGGAGACTGTATCACTAAATATTTAGAAATTACTGGAGGCTTGTATTACTAGGAGGATTTGACTCATGTAGAAATTACTAGGAGACTGTATCACTAAATATTTAGAAATTACTGGAGGCTTGTATTACTAGGAGGATTTGACTCATGTAGAAATTACTAGGAGACTGTATCACTAAATATTTAGAAATTACTGGAGGCTTGTATTACTAGGAGGATTTGACTCATGTAGAAATTACTAGGAGACTGTATCACTAAATATTTAGAAATTACTGGAGGCTTGTATTACTAGGAGGATTTGACTCATGTAGAAATTACTAGGAGACTGTATCACTAAATATTTAGAAATTACTGGAGGCTTGTATTACTAGGAGGATTTGACTCATGTAGAAATTACTAGGAGACTGTATCACTAAATATTTAGAAATTACTGGAGGCTTGTATTACTAGGAGGATTTGACTCATGTAGAAATTACTAGGAGACTGTATCACTAAATATTTAGAAATTACTGGAGGCTTGTATTACTAGGAGGATTTGACTCATGTAGAAATTACTAGGAGACTGTATCACTAAATATTTAGAAATTACTGGAGGCTTGTATTACTAGGAGGATTTGACTCATGTAGAAATTACTAGGAGACTGTATCACTAAATATTTAGAAATTACTGGAGGCTTGTATTACTAGGAGGATTTGACTCATGTAGAAATTACTAGGAGACTGTATCACTAAATATTTAGAAATTACTGGAGGCTTGTATTACTAGGAGGATTTGACTCATGTAGAAATTACTAGGAGACTGTATCACTAAATATTTAGAAATTACTGGAGGCTTGTATTACTAGGAGGATTTGACTCATGTAGAAATTACTAGGAGACTGTATCACTAAATATTTAGAAATTACTGGAGGCTTGTATTACTAGGAGGATTTGACTCATGTAGAAATTACTAGGAGACTGTATCACTAAATATTTAGAAATTACTGGAGGCTTGTATTACTAGGAGGATTTGACTCATGTAGAAATTACTAGGAGACTGTATCACTAAATATTTAGAAATTACTGGAGGCTTGTATTACTAGGAGGATTTGACTCATGTAGAAATTACTAGGAGACTGTATCACTAAATATTTAGAAATTACTGGAGGCTTGTATTACTAGGAGGATTTGACTCATGTAGAAATTACTAGGAGACTGTATCACTAAATATTTAGAAATTACTGGAGGCTTGTATTACTAGGAGGATTTGACTCATGTAGAAATTACTAGGAGACTGTATCACTAAATATTTAGAAATTACTGGAGGCTTGTATTACTAGGAGGATTTGACTCATGTAGAAATTACTAGGAGACTGTATCACTAAATATTTAGAAATTACTGGAGGCTTGTATTACTAGGAGGATTTGACTCATGTAGAAATTACTAGGAGACTGTATCACTAAATATTTAGAAATTACTGGAGGCTTGTATTACTAGGAGGATTTGACTCATGTAGAAATTACTAGGAGACTGTATCACTAAATATTTAGAAATTACTGGAGGCTTGTATTACTAGGAGGATTTGACTCATGTAGAAATTACTAGGAGACTGTATCACTAAATATTTACTAAAAGTTTTATTTGAGACGACAAAAAAAATGTTGTCGCGAAATCTTTTTTTGTTGCGACAGCATGACCTCTGTCGTCAATTTCTTTGCCGACGGCATTGCCTATGTCGCCAAAAAAATAGATTTTAGTTCTAATGTTTTTTGCGACGGTGTGGTGCCGTCGCAAAAAAAAAAACAAAACAAAACAAAACAAAAAAAAACTTGTAATAAAATTATTAAAAATATTAAAATTATCTGTATTAAATGAAAAAAAAATGAAAAAGAAACCAATAATTGCATAATAATATAAAAATTTCTGTATAGAAATAACAATTTCTCCATAATAAAAATATTCTTGCATTCATAACTACATATTAGCAAAATTACCCCACTACATAATGTTCCATAATACAAATATAATGTTTAAATACATAATTTGTTCACAATTCAAAATAACATAAACCAAGAACAAAAATTTTCCCCATCATTCTCCGTGGGTAACAAAACCAAAAGTTAGTCGCATTCTTCACAAGCATGCATTCCACAAGAAGCAAACTCCTACTCACAAAATATCTGAAAACAAAAAATAAAAATAATTAATGACAATATAATTATGTGTTAATATGTTAATTACAAAAATAAAAAAAATAAAAATTTAACTGCTATACAATTACAAAGATAATTAAGTAAATAATTTTGTCTAAACCGAAATTCTGCTCTAACTTCCAAACCGAGAACCCAATTCGAGTCTCGTCTTCTCCCACAAGTCTCTCATGCCAAGGCGGTCGTGTGTGCCAAGTTTCATGCTAATTCGACGCCGTTTGGTGATTTTGAACACCTTGAATTTTAAGTTTCTTCAGAAACTAATTTGCCTAGACCAAAATCCGACTCTAACTCCCAAACCGGGAACCCGATTCGAGTCTCGTCTTCTCCCACAAGTCTCTCGTGCCTAAACGGTCGTGTGTGCCAAGTTTCATGCTAATTCGACGTCATTTGGTGATTTTGGATCGTCAACACCTCGAATTCTAAGTTTGTTAAGGAACTAGTTTGCCTAGACCAAAATTCAGCTCTAACTCCCAAACCGGGAACCCGATTCGAGTCCCTTATTCTCCCACAAGTCTCTTATGCCTAGGCGGTCGTGTGTGCCTAACATATATAAGAAAATCTTCTCCTCCACATCCCATTAGACATGGATTACTAAAGACCATAAACAGAGACACTAATTGATACCAACATTGCTCTCACATTTTCATAAACAAATCTAGTTAAGACCCACCTTCATGTATTGAGATATGTCTTTTCTCCTTATAAACAACTTCATAACATTTTTTCCTGGATTCATAAAAATCATAACAGCATCACAATATGTCAAGTGTTTCCCAAACATCTCTTATGGGTTTCAAGAATCCATCCCTAGATGTTTGCCAATAACATTTAGGGTAAAAAATCCTAAATTGCATTTGTTGTTTGGAAAGAGAATTTTGGGTAACTTTGGTGCAGACTAGAGAAACAACAACATGGATAATGAATACAAACACGTAGAAGATAACTAAAGCATCACAGTTAGAAATGGGCTTACCTCTATATCAAGTGATGGGTACTTATTTCTGAGTGTGTGTACCTGAAAACTAGATTTATGGACTGTGGAAATGAGAAGGATGGAAAGAAACAAATGGGATTGGGATTTGAGATCGTGAGAAACAAAAGCGGGGAAAGAAATGGGGGAATTCGGATAGAAATTGCGAGAAAACGAAAAGAAATTTATTTTTTTTGTAGTTAATAAATTTTTTTATTTTTTTTTAGTTACTAAGGTTGAAATTTTATTTGTTCATTTTTATTTTAATGAAAAAAATTATTTTTTTATTTATTTGGTAGAAGTAGGGGTAATATTTTAATGAAAAATATTTTCTGTTAAAATAAAGTTAATTTTTTGTGGTCAATGAAAAATATTTTTTTGCGGTCCATTTTTTTTGGGTTACTAAAAATCAAGAACTAATTTTTTGTGGTAGAGGAGAGGGAGCGGTAGTAGTAGTGAAGGTGGTCGATAAGAGGTGATGGTGGTGGCAATGGTGGTAATGGCAAAGGAGATTAGTGGTGAAGTTGTGGTAGTGGTAGACGAGATGGAGTGGCGGTGGTGGAGGAGAGGTAATGGTAATAGTAGTGGCAGTAGTGGTGATGGTAGTAGTGGAATGGTGGCGATGGTGGTAGTAATGGTAGTCGTAGAGGTGGAATGGCAATAGTGGTAGTAGTGGTAGTAATGGAACGACATTTGCAATAGTGGTGAAAGTGGTAGAGGAGATGGGTGGCGAAAGAGATGAGTAAGAGACAGAGGTAGAGAGAGAAAGAGAGAGACAGAGACAGAGTGATGAGCGAGAGAGAGACAAAGTGGTCGCTAAAAGTGTATTTTCTTGTAGTGAATCGATAAATCGAGAGGGAGCTTGGTAAATAGAGAAGAGGGAAGTGAGAAAGTGAGCAAGGCGAACTTAGTGGGAGAGAGAGAGAGAGACAGACAGACAAACAGAGAGAGAGAGAAGAATGATGAGTGAGACAAAGAGAGACAAAGAGACAGAGACAGAGAGAGAGAGAGAGACACAAAATAAGAGAGAAACAAAAGATGAGCGAGAGATAGAGAGAGAGAAAGAGAGCGAAAAGAGATGAACAAGAGAGAAATATAGAAAAAGAGAGATAGAGAGAGAAGAGAGATGAGGAAGAGAGATAGAGAGAAAAGAGATGAACGAGATAGGCAGAGACAGAAAAGAGATGGGAGAGATAGATAGAAGAGAGATAAGCGAGAGACATAGAGAGAAGAGATATAGATAGAAGAGAGATAAGCGAGAGAGATAGAGAGAAGAGATATAGATAGAAGAGAGATAAGTGAGAGAGATAGAGAAAAGAGAGATGAGAGAGATAGAGAGAAGAGAGATGAACGAAAGACACAGAGACAGACAAAGAGAGAAGAGTGATGAGTAAGAAAGAGAAAGAGAAAGAGAAGAGAGACAGGAAAATGAAAAATAGGTGAAAAGATAAATGTTATATCAAAAGAGTAAGACGAACGTCGTTTTTTTTTAAAAGTAAAAAAAAAATGTTTAAAATTTTTAAAATATTCACTAAAAACAAAAAAAAAATATGAAAAATAAAAAAACTCAATTTTCAAAAAACTTCATTCAAATGAATATTTTTTTTCTTTTTTTTTTTTGCAACGGTACCTACTACAGTCGCAAAAAACTCACTTTTTTTTTTTGTGACTGCAACTGATGCTGTCGCAAAAACTCTATTTTTTCGCGACAGCATTTTCTGCCGTCGCAAATACTCTCCTTTTTCACAACAGCATTTTCTACTGTCTCAAATACTCTATTTTTCCGCGACAGCAAATTGTGCCGTCATAAAAACTCATCTTTTTCGCGACAGTAAGTTTTGCCGTAACAAAAAGTCACTTTTTTAGACGACAAGAATGTCGTCACAAATGCTTTCGTCTTAAATGTCATCACAAATGCTTTCGTCTTTTAAGTCTATTTTTCTTGTAGTGTGACCTAATGCAAAATTATAAATTTCACGTCTTTCATCGTATCTCTTCCATCAATTACAGTACTCTTAAAACACTATATGACCATGCCCTAACATCACAAAATAACTTCTCAATAACCAACACAAAATCACAACTTCCTCTAAACAAACCCAAAATCATATATTGCAGTCCTCCTTGCAATCTCAACACTTACCACAAATTAAATAATTTTCTTATACCACCACAAAAGCCTATTTTGAGAATAAAGTTTTAAATTTTTTTAAATTACATCACATCTCTATTTTTTACACATTTAAAAAAAAAAATCAACTTTTCAACTCACTTATCAAGATAGGCCAAAATCATAACATTCTCTAAACCGACACAAAATCATTTGTTACATCCCTTCTTTACCGATCACAACATTGTGGGACACCACAAGATCATGCCCGAACACCACTCAATAACTTCTCCAACAACAGTTACATGTTGAAACGGCAGACAGCGAGACCGCGTGACTAATAAGTGACGTGGTCCCTCCGCAACAACGAATACTTTCTTATCAATAATCTTCTTCTCCTTTAGATCTGCAATTCTGCTTCTTGCGAAAACCAAACCCTACCTTAGGTTTTCATCAAAATTTGGTTTTAATGGAAGGTAATGCCTTCCCTCGCTACTTCAGACATCCTATCCGAAATTTATTGCGAAAAAACGTAAAGAAATCCTCATCTTCGTCATCAACCTTACAATCGTCGTCGTCGTCGTCGTCGTCGATCTTACAATCGTCATCGTCCTCTGGTGCTTCTTTACCAGGTAAATTCGTATGTATCTGTGTATATACAGTCGATAAGTATGAGTGGTACACTTTTGATGTCTCCGATGATATTCGACACAACCAAACTCCTCCTCCTGCTAAATACATTAACTACCGTGTTCCTTTTCACGATGACGATGAATCCGGACTTGTAAATCTCAAACCTAAAGTCACTGCCAATATGGATTGGATTCTAGGTTGGTCAATTTTGGGTTTGACATTATATATTCTTGATGATTGGACTGGTGATTGGAGAGGATCGTCTGTTAAAAACGAAAGCAATCGAGTGGATCGAATTGATCTAGTTAGTACTAGGTCGAAATGGGAGAGAGTTCCTCAAATGCCTAATCAGATTGCTGTGTTGGCTCATACTTTTGTTCTTGCCGGCAAGTTTTATTGCCTGGGTGGGTTTCGATCCAAAAAGGGAGAGTTGGAGAGGGAATCGCTGTTTGCCATGGCTTACGACTTGAGCGTAAAAGCTGGTGACTCGTTACCGAGCCCCCCATGTATTAACCTTGATGAAATATTCTCAGGAGCTAAAGAGGTCCCCAACCCATGTTTTCCCTCTCAAAAGATGGATTTGGAGAGGCTGTCACTACGGGACAACAAATCTTCACTAGATGAAGAGGGCACCAACCCGTGTTTGCCCTCTCAAAAGATAGATTTGGAGAGGCCGTTATCGTTCCCCATGGCTCCCGACGACAGTCTATTTGGCTCTACATGGCTTGAAATAAGCCCAGCAGGTGAAGAGCTCGGCAACTCATATTCTCAAAACATGGAGTTGGAGAGACATAAACCGTGGGTCATGGCTTACGACCCGAGCCTAAATACATGGGAATCTCTACCTGACCCTCCAAGTTGTCCCGTTAAGGTTGACAGTATATTCTCAGCCGCTGGAGAGTTCCCCAATCCATGTATTGTAGTGGGTTCACCTGGGGATGGTCTCCAAATCTACCAAGTAAATGCCAAAAAGTGGGAAAAACAAGAGTTTAAAATATGCCCAAAGTTTGGCCCAAATGTGTTAACAGGGCCAGCTTTGGCTGTTGACAGTAAGTTGTATTGGTATTCAGTCCATGATCTAAGCCTAGTTGGATATGATTTAGTGACGTCAATGTGGTTTGTGGGCAATTTCCCTATCCATGACCATGGCGAGCATTTTGGAGTACGAGATGTTGACACTCCTCCACGCTTGGCTCATCTAGGTGGCGACATGTTTTGCTTGCTGTGGGTTTCTGTGTTGCCGCGCAGGCGAATGAAGATTTCGGAGTCCAAAGATGACTATATTTCTCGCCTTCACTGTATGAAGCTTCGAGTTACCACTGAAAACTTTCACCCAGTGAATGGAATTATTCCCTTGGAGGTCTCTATCCTGTCGTGCCAATCTTACTTGGCTTCTGGATTGAAGTTTTTCCGTGGTGGCTTGGTGGTGTAAGCATCCTTTTACGTACCTATGCATTTTCATTCTTTTGTTCTTTTTATTTCTGTAATTATTTATACACCGCGGCCATTTTTGCCGAGCTCAAACAAAAAAAATATTAAATTTTCAGATTAAAAAAATCTAGAATGACCCGGAACCAGAAAATTAAAATTGTGGGCATATTTATTAATTATAGTATCCAAAATTTTTATAAAAATATTTCACACAAGTTTTTACGATTGATTTCAAGAAACATAAAAAAATTAAAAATTAATGTTATTTATAACTAGTGTATCATGGACAGTATAAAAAAATATAGATATAAGTCTTAAAATAAATTATATAATGTTAAATTACATTTTTTATAAAATTTGATTAAAAATTCAATATAATGGTAATACCACATCATCATTAGTATGTGATATCACCAACTAATAATAAATAAACACATAGAGAATGAACCTCACATATCAAATGTAACTAACAATCCAATAAATATCATATCTTTATAGTAAGATTATTTATACTTGCATGTCAATAATAATGACATCATCGTTACATTAAAAAAATTTCATAAAATTTTCATAGATAATATGGTTTATAGTAGTCTCTTCATTTTCAATCAAAACAACCATTATTATTCTCATAATTTTTAAAATGTCATTGACATTTCACTCTAATAATATTTTTATAATTTTTTTATTTAAAATATTTTCTTTATATTTGCACCCAAAAAAAACAAAAAATCCAAAATCCAAGTTACGTGACCCCCTCGTCTCTTGCTCCCTCCGCCACTGAGAATGACTCATTGGGATAAATGTATCATGATGTCAAGCTACAACAAAAATGAAAGAAGTCAATACCAAATGCTTACAACCTTTATTTTCAACATGCCCTTGTTGTAGAATTAGTATTATAAGAATAGTATGGGCTTTTTCATTTACTCCAAAATTCAGTGTTTTTGGAGGTTATAAGCGAGCTGAGGTGAGTAGGTATTCTAATGCCAAAGTGAGAGGCGAAGGCTTCATCAAAGTGACGCGAACAGTAAAGATATTTATAAAAAAATATAGAACATAGGCAAAAAAAACTTACAAATTTTCAAAACAAGCTACATCCAATTCCAACATATCCAAATATCCATAAAAACCATTAAGCATCCGACAAAATCAAACATTTCCAAATACCATTGAGCAGCAAAACACAAGGCAGACAACATGTATGTCTACAACTTTCACCAATTATAAGACCCTAAACATCATTCTTCCTTTTAAGCAGTGGAACCTTGGCTAGGGGCAACCAAGGGCCTTTTGCCATGTTGATTACTATTAACAATATCATCATCCTTCCTCATCGGCATCCATCTCATCACAATCGGGCAACAAGTTCAATTGTTCCTTTGCTTGACTTTCTTGGTTATATAGTCTCTAATTTTATCTTTACATGAGATGGACACCTTTTACAAGCAACCACATTTTATAACCACCGGGAATATGTTGTTTGAACTGGCTGGTAAACACTCCCATTCATTTATTTTTCATAAAAATTGTGAACAAACTTAGACAAATTTTGGGGATTTACCGTCTGAATATTGCCATCCCAGATCTTATCTATTACTTTTGCATGACTACAACATCTAATCAATTATTAAAAATCAATAAACCGACTCATTGTTAAGAATATTCAAATCAAGATCATTTTGAAAAATAATTCAGCAATATTAATTATTCTAGCAAAATTACAGCCACAAAGCAACCATATAATTCAGCAAAATGGCAGCAATTCAGATAAGCAACAATACAATTCAGTATAAACTATTGCAAAGTAACCATACAATTCAACAAAATTACACCTTATCAAAGCTGTAACTGATGAGGATCCAACAGAACTGTAAGTGATTGAACGACAAGGTCCCAGCTGGTCAAAAGCATAGCAGCACACGATTCAAAATTGTAAACATTAATGCAATAGTTGTACCTTATCAATGATATTTTTTTTCTCAGCAATCATTCACTTTTCTCATAATTGGACTACAGCAAAATGAATTCTGAAAAAAGTAAAAGGAAAAATCAAGTTTCTGGCTGAATTAAGAAGGCAACATTTCAAAAATTATAAAAAAATAAGAACTCACTATGCATTTACTGTTGCAATCTGCCCAGGCTGCAGAATGCCCCAAAAAATGAATTCTAGAAAAAAATAAAAAGAAAGGCCGAAGAAAGAAGAAGACAAAGTGCGAAGAAGTGAGAAGAACACACTCTGTTGTGTTGGAGATCAGAGTTGGTGTGGTGATCAACGTTGAAGGTTTGAGACTTTGTGCTTCTTTCATTTCTTTAGAAACATTGGTGTTCTGCTACAGCTCACAAATATTTATAGTTAGGGCTATCAAAAGGTCTGTTAAATATTTGGTACAATTATAAAAGTCAACAAAATGGATGGCGCCTCGCACTACAGCCTAATGCGCTCACTTTTCTCACCTAGGTGTCGGCTCACTATTCAAGCCATTATATGCACCATAGGGTCAACTTGAGTCCCTTCTCGCTAAGGGTTTTGCCTAAGCGTGCTTTTCACAACACTATTACAAATTTAACAGACTAACCTGGTATCATCTATGGCTCACGTGTCTTATAGTTAGGACCTATTAGCCTTGAGTGGGCCCAAGGTTATGCCGTGGGGCTCTTCTCTCGCCCATATTTTTACTTCTATTTGATTTTTATGGCTATCATTCTAATTGGGTGTTGATATTGTAGTGATGCTCATTCAAGATACTTTCATGCCTGACAACAGTTGGTGGTATGTTAGCATTTCCTTTATTTTTCCCATTGCAACACACCATTTTTTCTCCTTTTGATTGTAATCATTTTGAAACCTACTTTTATTGTTATGGTAGATTTTAGGTGTAGTGAACATCTAAGAAGCACTGATACTCCAAATCAGGTGTTGTAGTGGTGTCGGTCATGGGGACACCCCACATGGTGTTTCTTTTTATTTAATTAATTTGTTTTTAAGGGACACGCTAGAGGACACATTAGCTAGTTTTTTTTTCTTTCTTCTTTAGTGCTTTTAATGGATGATGGATATTAAATGTTTATTACCTTTTGCTTAGACTAAATAATTAATAGATCATTTATAAATAATACAAACAATAGAGTTAGTTTTAGAGTGATATATTATTATTATTACATTAGTATTAATTTTTTAAAATTTTCATTATTTATGAATATAATGTTAAACTACATAGCAAATAAAAATATACAAAAAAATATTATTATTATTATTGCGACCCTGCTATATCCCTCCCAATTTTTTTGAAATCATCGTGTCTCTGTTTGTGTGCTCATCTGTGTCGGTGTCCGTGTCCGTGCTTCTTAGGTGAACATTGTGGAATGTAATATAGAATGTTGTTGTACATTTGCAAACATTTCTATATGGCTATCATATGCGAGTTAGATAAAATTTCATTTTAAATGATGCATATATTTTATAGAAAAATCATAATTGACCATGGAAAAGAAAAACCCTTGAAATTCCTTGGCCTAACTTACTCTTAGAAATCCATTTCAACCCTAGCTCCTTATTCTTACTTAATCATTAAAATCGTGTAAGCTTTGTCCCTAAGAAGCACTGACACTTATAAGAAGGTTGCATATTGTGCCGGATACTAACATGACACTCATCTCACACTTCTCAACACTTGTCGAACACATCCAAATAGGTCCACCTACTATTTTCTAAAATTTTCTAGACTTAAACATGCTTTAGACAATTAGGAAACAAATGTTTCTATTCTTTCTGGATTTTAAAAGTTAGTATTATGTCACATTTTGTTATTATCTTTAAATATTCATATGGATGGCACAAAATAATTATATATAGCATATAATAAATATATAATTTATATATTTCGCGCGTCCTACACACGTCGTGTCCTACAATTTTTTTTTTGGAAAATTTCTTTGTTGGCATGTCAAAGTTGTGTTTGTGTCCGTGTGCATGCGTCTTAACTTTGTCCTGAAGACAATTTTCAGTATTGATAAAACGGGATTTGCATCCATTTTAAATGGTTGTATCAGATTGAAATTGCAAAAAGGGTGAAACAAAATTGATGCAAGGTAAAGACAAGCCATCCCCCAGAATGAAGCAACCAAAAATGAACATAACTGAGAGAAGTTGATTCTAAACATAACTAAGGCCTTCTAGCAAATGAGCAAGTTGAAACCACCCAAAATGCAATTATTCAGCCACCGGCACGAAATCTCTACAATAAGAGGTTGTCAGTGTGATGGTGGAAGAAATTTTACCCTATCGGAAAGTGATGGAGCTAACTAGAAACTGGCTTTCCTATGCATGAAGAGTCTAGTCATTAAACTTTTAGCAAAATATGTCCTTTTAGAAGGTTAAAAAAAATGATTGTAAGTAACGTGTGAGGGATACAATTTTTTCCCCACCTCAGGCATTGGGCACCTATCAACTTCAGGTGGGCAATGTTGGTTTTCATCTATAAAGCACAAACACTTAAACTTAGCTCTTCTCCCATGTGTCTACATACAAACTTCTGTTTACTTTTCATAGCTGTTGTGCTGCTAATTAATGAGTGTAGATTTTTGGGATGGTAATTTCAGATATTGCTTTAGAGTTTGGGAGCCACGCTAATATGTTTGCATTTTCCTTATATATATATATATATATTATATGCTATTTTTTCCCATTTTGATTGTATCGAACTTGATGTTGGCGAGGTCCTTTTGAAGCATGCTTTCTATTCTTATGGTAGAATTTACGTGTAGTAAAATTTTGTATTTCATAATTTAATGGCTTTGTAATTGATTTTTTTTTTTGTTGCGTAGTAAGACATTCTTTTTTGTTTTTTAGGGGGAGAGGGCTGATGAAGTAGGATTCTTTTAGAACATGTTGTTTCCATGTGTTTCTGGCAGCAGTTCACAGAGCCCAAGGTTATGCCGTGGGGCTCTTCTCTCGCCCATATTTTTACTTCTATTTGATTTTTATGGCTATCATTCTAATTGGGTGTTGATATTGTAGTGATGCTCATTCAAGATACTTTCATGCCTGACAACAGTTGGTGGTATGTTAGCATTTCCTTTATTTTTCCCATTGCAACACACCATTTTTTCTCCTTTTGATTGTAATCATTTTGAAACCTACTTTTATTGTTATGGTAGATTTTAGGTGTAGTGAACATCTAAGAAGCACTGATACTCCAAATCAGGTGTTGTAGTGGTGTCGGTCATGGGGACACCCCACATGGTGTTTCTTTTTATTTAATTAATTTGTTTTTAAGGGACACGCTAGAGGACACATTAGCTAGTTTTTTTTTCTTTCTTCTTTAGTGCTTTTAATGGATGATGGATATTAAATGTTTGTTACCATTTGCTTAGACTAAATAATTAATAGATCATTTATAAATAATACAAACAATAAGAGTTAGTTTTAGAGTGATATATTATTATTATTACATTAGTATTAATTTTTTTAAATTTTCATTATTTATGAATATAATGTTAATCTACATAGCAAATAAAAATATACAAAAAAAATATTATTATTGTTATCGCGACCCTGTTGTATCCCTCCCAATTTTTTTGAAATCATCGTGTCTCTGTTTGTGTGCTCATCTGTGTCGGTGTCCGTGTCCGTGCTTCTTAGGTGAACATTGTGGAATGTAATATAGAATGTTGTTGTACATTTGCAAACATTTCTATATGGCTATCATATGCGAGTTAGATAAAATTTCATTTTAAATGATGCATATATTTTATAGAAAAATCATAATTGACCATGGAAAAGAAAAACCCTTGAAATTCCTTGGCCTAACTTACTCTTAGAAATCCATTTCAACCCTAGCTCCTTATTCTTACTTAATCATTAAAAGAATGTTAGATTTGTCCCTAACAAGTACCGACACTTCTAAGAAGGTTGCATATTGTGCCAGATACTAACATGACACTCGTCTCACACTTTTCAACACCCGTCGAACACATCCAAACATGTCCACCTACTATTTTCTAAAATTTTCTAGACTTAAACATGCTTTAGTTTAGACAATTAGGAAACTAACATTTCTATTGTATCTGGATTTTAAAATTAGTATTATGTTACATTTTGTTATTATCTTTGAATTAAATACTCATAAGCATGGCATAAAATAATTATATATAGCATATAATAAATATATAATTTATATATTTTCTGCGTCCTTCACATGTGGTGTCTTACTTTTTTTTTTGGAAAAATTTCTTTGTTGGCATGTCAAAGTTGTGTTTGTGTCCGTGTGCATGCGTCTTAACTTTGTCCTGAAGACAATTTTCAGTATTGATAAAACGGGATTTGCATAATTTACTGAATAATTTTCTGAGAATTTTACTGAGTAATGTTTTAAAAAAATTCTGTGAATTTATTGAGTAATTTACCAAGAATTTATACAGAATTTTCTAGGAAATTATTGAAAATTTTCTGAGTAATTTACTTTTGAATTTATTGAGTAATTCACCGATAATTAACTGAGTAATTTATAGAGAATTTATTGAAAATTTAACGAATAATTTACAGAGTAATTTGCTGAGTAATTTTTTAAAAAAATTCTGTGAATTTATTGAGTAATTTACCAAGAATTTATACAAAATTTTCTAAGAATTTACAAAGTAATTTACTCATAATTTACTGAGCAATTCACAAAAAATCTTCCAACGATTTTCTAAGAATTTACACAGAATTTTCTGTGAATTTACTGAGTAATTTACCAAGAATTTATACAAAATTTTCTGAGAATTTACTCATAATTTACTGAGTAATTCACAAAAAAATTTCTAATGATTTTCTAAGAATTTACACGGAATTTTCTAATAATTTACTAAGAATTTACTGAATAATTTACTGAGAATTTTGCGTGTAATTTATTGAGAATGTTATTAAGTAATTTAATGAGAATTTACTGAGTAATTTACTAAGAATCTACCGATAATTTACTGAGTAATTTATTGAGAATTTACTAACAAATTGTTAAGTTCTTCACTGGGTAATTTAGTTGGAAATTACTAAATAATTTATTGAGAATTTACTGAGTAAGTTACTAAGAATTTATTGATAATTTACTTAGACTTTATGGATTAATTTATTGAGAATTTACTACGTAATTTACTTTGAATTTATTGAATAATTTACTGAGAATTTATAAAGTAATTTACTGAGAATTTATAGGAAATTCACAAATTAATGTTCGAATAATTTACTGAGAATTGACAAAGTAATTCACGATTTTTTTTTGATAATTTTATAAGTAATTTACCAAGAATTTTTACAGAATTTATTGAGAATATTTTTAGAATTTATTGAAAATTTTCTGAGCAATTTATGCACAATTTATTAAATAATTTACTGAAAATTTACAGATAATTTACAAAGTAATTTATAGAAAATTTATTGAAAACTTAACGAGTAATTTATTGAGAATTTACTACCAACTTATGGAGTAATTTGCTTAATAATTTACTAAGAAATTACTTTGAATTTACCAGGAATTTTCTGAGAAGTTATTAAGTAATTTACTCATAATTTACTGATTAATTCACAAAAAAAAAATTCTTGTAATTTTTTGTGAATTTACTCAGAACTTTCTGATAAATTACTCAGAATTTGCCGAATAATTTAGAGAGAATTTTACGTGTAATTTACTGAGAAATTTCCTGAGTAATTTAGTGAGTAATTTATAGAGAATTTTCCAATAATTTACTGAGTAATTTACAGAGAATTTATCGAGTAATTTACTGACAAATTACTGAATAATTCACTCATTAATTTACTTGTAATTTATTGAGAATTTAAGGAGTAATTTATTGGAATTTACTCAGTAATTTATTTAGAATTTATTAAATAATTTACTAAGAATTTACAGATAATTTACTACGTTATTTTCTTCGAATTTGCAGAGTAATTTTCTAATAATTTACTGAGTAATTGACTCAAAATTTTTTGAGAACTTATCGATAATTAACTGAGTAATTTACAGAGAATTTATTAAGAATTTACCGAGTAATTTACTGGCAATTTACTTAGTAATTTACAGATAAATTTAGTGAGTAATTCGCCGAATCATTTACTATGAATTTACTTAGTAATTTATTTAGAATTTACTCAGTAAATTACTAAGAGTTTATTGAGAATTTACTGAGAATTTGTTGAGTAATTTTCTAGGAACTTACCAATCATTTATGAAGCAATTTACTGAGTAATTTATTGAGAATTTAGTGTGAATTTAATGAGTAATTTACTCATAATTTATTGAGAATTTTCTTAGAATTCATTGAGTAATTCACCGACAATTAACTGAGTAATTTATAGAGAGTTTATTGAAAATTGAACGGATAATTTATTGAGAATTTACAGAGTAATTTGCTGAGAAATGTTTTAAAAAATTATTGTGAATTTACTGAGTAATTTACCAAGAATTTATACAAAATTTTCTAAGAATTTACTCATAATTTACTGAGTAATTCCCAAAAAAATTTCTAATGATTTTCTAAGAATTTGCTCAGAAGTTTCTAATAATTTTCTAAGAATTTACTGAATAATTTTCTGAGAATTTGGCGTGTAATTTATTAAGAATTTTACTGAGTAATTTAATGAGAATTTTCTGAGTAATTTACTAAGAATCTACCGATAATTTACTGAGTAATTTATTGAGAATTTACTGCGAATTTACTAAGAAATTTACTGATAAATTGTTAAGTTCTTCACTGGGTAACTTAGTTGGAAATTACTAAATAATTTATTGAGAATTTATTGTGTAAGTTACTAAGAATTTATTGATAATTTACCAAGACTTTATGGATTAATTTATTGAGAATTTACTACGTAATTTACTTTGAATTTATTGAATAAATTACTGAGAATTTATAAAGTAATTTACTGCGAATTCACAGGAAATTCACTAATTAATGTTCGAATTGTTTACTGAGAATTAAAAAAGTAATTCACGAATTGTTTTTTTGATAATTTTATGAGTAATTTACCAAGAATTTATACAGAATTTATTGAGAATTTTCTTAGAAATTATTGAAAATTTTCTGAACAATTTATTTACAATTTATTAAATAATTTACTGAAAATTTACAGATAATTTACAAAGTAATTTATAGAGAATTTATTGAAAACTTAACGAGTAATTTATTGAGAATTTAGGGAGTAATTTGCTGAATAATTTCCTAAGAAATTACTTTGAATTTACCAAAAATTTTCTGAGAAGTTATTGAGTAATTTACTCATAATTTACAGATTAATTCACAAAAAAAATTCTTGTAATTTTTTGTGAATTTACTTAGAATTTTCTGTTAAATTACTAAGAATTTTCCGAATAATTTATAGCAAATTTTACGTGTAATTTACTGAGAAATTTCCTGAGTAATTCAGTGCGTAATTTACAGAGAATTTACCAATAATTTACTGAGTAATTTACAGAGAATTTATCGAGTAATTTACTGACAAATTAATGAATAATACACTCATTAATTTACTTGTAATTTACGAAAAATTTAAGGAGTAATTTATTGAGAATTTACTCAATAATTTATTTAGAATTTGTTTAATAATTTACTAAGAATTTACAGATAATTTACTGCGTTATTTTCTTCGAATTTACAGAGCAGTTTTCTAATAATTTACTGAGTAATTTACTAAGTAATTGACCCTGAATTTTTTGAGAACTTATCGATAATTAACTGAGTAATTTACAAGGAATTTATTTAGAATTTACCGAGTAATTTACTGGCAATTTACTTAGTAATTTACAGATAAATTTAGTGAGTAATTCACCGAATAATTTACTATGAATTTACTTAGTAATTTATTTAGAATTTACTCAGTAAATTACTAAGAGTTTATTGAGAATTTTCTTAGAATTTATTGAGTAATTCACCGACATTTAACTAAGTAATTTATAGAGAATTTATTGAAAATTGAACGGATAATTTATTGAGAATTTACAGAGTAATTTGCTGAGTAATGTTTTAAAAAATTATTGTGAATTTACTGAGTAATTTACCAAGAATTTATACAAAATTTTATGAGAATTTACTCTTAATTTACTGAGTAATTCACAAAAAAATTTCTAATGATTTTCTAGGAATTTACACGGAATTTTCTAATAATTTACTAAGAATTTACTGAATAATTTTCTGAGAATTTTGAGTGTAATTTATTGAGAATTTTTCTGAGTATTGTAATAAGAATTTACTGGGAATTTATTGAATAATTTACTAAGAATCTATCTATAATTTACTGAGTAATTTATTAAGAATTTACTAAGAAATTTACTGATAAATTGTTAAGTTCTTCACTGGGTAATTTAGTTGGAAATTACTAAATAATTTATTGAGAATTTACTG